GCTCTGCCCTCTCGTGGCCGTCCCAATGATAGCAACACGACCCGAAGAAAACGGCTGTTTGGCCCAAGTTTTTGTTTTTTTAAACTTTCACTTACATGTTAGCGTCACATATGAGTCACAGTATCGCAGCTTGGTTCATGTAACAATCAGGGTTTACATGGCTTTCCGTCTCAAATCACATCATTCCTAGATGTTACCAAGCTGCTAACTTTTCAAGTTATTTTGAAACGTATAATTAATTAGAGACCACGGCCAATGTGCTGTTTTATGAAAAAGCTTTAAATAGTGTTTCTTTTTTTTCAGTATTTATGGCAGGGCCTGGCGCCGTGGTCTAGCGGCTAAACTCCTCGCCTTGAACACAACTTGGGATCCCATAAGGGCACCAGTTCTAATCCCGGCAGCTCCACTTCCCAGCCAGCTCCCTGCTTGTGGCCTGGGAAAGCAGTGGAGGACGGCCCAAAGCCTTGGGACCCTGCACCCGCGTGGGAGACCCGGAAGAGGCTCCTGGCTCCTGGCTTCGAATCAGCACAGCACCGGCCGTTCCGCTCACTTGGGGAGTGAATCATCGGATGGAAGATCTTTCTCTCTTTCTCTTCTCCTCTCCGTATATCTGGCTTTGTAATAAAAATAAATAAAACATTAAAATATATATATATTTATGGCAAAGGCTGAGTTACAGAGAGAATGGGAGTGAGATCTTGCATCTGCTGGTTTACTCTCCCAAATGGCCCCATCAGGCAGGGCTGGGCACAGCCCTGAGTCTGGAATTGCATCCGGGTCTCCCATAGGGGTGGCAAGGACGCAAGCGCTTGGGCCTTCCTCTGCTGCTCTCCCAAGAGCATCAACAGGAAGGTGTATCGGAAGTGGGACAGCCGGGACTCGAACTGACACCTGTACACAATCATTACAGATAGAGGCTTAACCTGATGCACTCAGCCTGAGCTCCGAGGCTGAAACCAGAACCACACACAACCCCTTGCTTCCACCCACCTCCACAGCGCCACAGCCCTAAGAACAGAGAACACAGAATTTCATGGGTACGTGGGCACCCAATCAATGAAAAGTAAAAAAAAAAAAAAAAAACAGCCCATCACGGATGAGCCCGTAACACAAGACACGTGTGTGAGCCTTGGAATATTACTCAGCCAGCAAAAAGCAACGCAAAGGAGAAACGAGACACGAATACAGGTGTACACACCTGCAGGACCCCCTCCCAAGAGGTCCTTGGAGCCCTGGGACCCTAGGGCAGTGCCAGGGGGCTGGGGACAGAGCGTCAGATCAGGAGGAAGAGAAGGACAAAGCTCTCGAGACAGCCAGCTCCGGGAGCGTATTCAAGGCACTGAGTCGTGCACTTCTTCCGGATGGCTAAGCAGAGGCGTGGAACGCTGCAGCCGCTTTACCACCACGCCGGGGGGCAGGCCGGGCAGTGGAACAGGGTAGACAGAGGGCCAAGCATACCCAAAAAGGCAGGTGTGCACAGCCCCCAGGCGGCCGGCTGGTCGGATGGGACTGAAGCTGCTGAGGTGACAGGAGCTGTGGCCGCCTCGACCCTCCTCCAGCCTGGCTCTCCGTCCAGTGCCACAAGCTCGGCCCTGGCCCCTTGCTGGGGCACCCCGTTTCACCTCCTGCCCTCCCACAGCCCCTCCCCATCCCCCAGCATCTCCTGCGCTCCTGTGGTCCCCATGCTTGGTCCCCCCTGGGTGTTCTCGCTTGAGTCTCACTCAACCCTGCTGCTTACTTCCTGTCTATCATTTCTCACCCTCCATTGCACTCCCTCCCCTCCCCCCACCGTGGGGAAGTTTCCTGCTTCCGGGGTGGGGTTAGAACGGCTCAGAGGTGGGAGGGAGGAGGAGGAGAGGGGGGCTCGGGTCCCTGTGGTGCCTGTGTGTGTGGTGTGTGTGATCTCACGCCTGAAGTGATGCTCGCATACAGTCGGCACTCCGTAAATGCACATGGCGCTCAAGCCAGCATCAATCGGCTCCTGCAGTGTCTGCGTGGGTCCCACGTCTGGGCAAGCCGGGGGGGGGGGGGGGGGGGACACCTTCCCAGGTCTCCCTGGGAACAAGCGTAGCAGTCTGGAGCAAGCATCTGGTTGATGGATTGATTTGAAAGGCAGAGAGGGACTTCGGCAAACAGGAAGAGATCTTCCACCTGCTGATTCAGCCTCCCCCACCCCACCCCACCCCCGCCCGCAGAAGCCCCTCAACAGCTCAGGCTGATTGAGGCTGAAATCTAGGAGGCCAGAGTCTCCCCCATGGACAACAGGGGCCCATGGTCTTGAGCTGTCACCTTCTGCTGCCCGGGGCGGGGAGCAATCATTGTCTCCAGGCGGCCTCCTCTGCCATGTGTGTGGGGGTCCCAGTGCTGCAGGGGCACCCGCTGCGGGTTAAGCTACTGTTTATAGCACTTGCATTCCAGACCACGGAGCTCAGGTTCGACTCCCAGCTGTTCCACTTCCTATCCAGCTCCCTGCTAATGTGCCTGGGAAAGCAGCGGGAGGTGGCCCAATTCCCCGGGGGGCCCCTGTCATCTCTAGGGGAGACCCAGAGAGAGTTCTCAGATGCTGGCTTAAGCCTGAACCAGACCCCCTCCTCCATTCTCTCCCTCTTCCCTCTTTCTCTCTCTACCTTTCAAATAAACTTGCAAAATCTTTGTTTATAAATGCTTGCACGGCCATAACTACCTTCTCCTGGCGCAGGAAGGAAGGAAGCAAGGAAGGAAGGAAAGAAGGAAGGAAGGAAAGAAGGAAGGAAGAAGTTTTGCAAAGAAAACTACGGATTGATGCTCGCTCACTCCTGCCGATGCTCCTGCTCACGATGCTTGAAACCCAGAGTTCTGGAGAGATCTTCCACCTGCCGCCTCACTCCCCCGTTGGCCAGCACGGCCGGTGCTGGACCAGGCGACCAAGCTCTTGAGCCATCACCCTCGACTGCTTTCCCAGGCGTATTAGCAGAGAGCTGGACTAGAAGTGGAACAGCCAGGACTCGAACTCTGGCGTCCCACTGGGAATGCTACCATCATGGGTGATGGTTTTACGCTCTTCCCTGCACTGTCATCCCCAAATTCATAAATATATATATATATATTAAGATTTATTTGTTTATTGGAAAGTCAGATATACAGAGAGGAGAGACAGAGAGGAAGATCTTCCATCCATTGATTCACTCCCCAAGTGAGCCCAACGGCCGATGCTATGCCGATTCAAAGCCAGGAGCCAGGAGCTTCTTCCGGGTCTCCCACGTGGGTGCAGGGTCCCAAAGCTTTGGGCCGTCCTCCACTGCTTTCCCAGGCCACAGCAGGGAGCTGGACGGGAAGTGGAGCTGCCGGGATTAGAACCAGCGTCCCTATGGGATGCCGGCGCGTTCAAGGCGAGGACTTTATCCGCTAGGCCACACTGCCGGGCCCTATATATATATATTTAAAGCCACATCAGGACCTGGCATTGTGGCCCTGCAGTGAGGTGAACCACCAGTTGCAAAATCACCATCCGACATCGGAGTACCGCTTGGAGTCCCGGCTGCTCCACTTCCCATCCAGCTCCCTGCTAAGGCACCTGGGAAAGCAACAGAGGACGGACGGCCCAAGTGTTTGGGGCCCCCGAACCCACATGGGAGACCTGGAAGAAGCTCCTGGCTCCTGGCTTCATCCTGGCCCAGCCCGGGCTGTTGTAGCCATTTGGGGAGTGAATCAGAGGACGAAATCTTCCTCTCTCCGCTCGTATTAACCATGTTTTTCAAAGCCACATTTCTGGTCCTCCCAACTCCACATTCAGTGGTTCCATTGTGGACAGCTAAACTAATATTTTTTATACAGAAAGATGGTGATGGACCTGGCACAATATCCTAGCAGTTGAAGTCCTCACCTTGCATACCAGGGATCCCATAGGGGTGCCGGTTCTAATCCCGGCAGCCCCACTTCCCATCCAGCTCCCTGCTTGTGGCCTGGGAAAGCAGTGGAGGACGGCCCAAAGCCTTGGGACCCTGCACCTGGGTGGGAGACCCAGAAGAAGCTCCAGGTCCCTAGCTTTGGATTGGCTCAGCTCCGGCCGTTGCAGCCATCTGGGGAATGAGTCATCAGACGGAAGATCTTCCTCTCCACCTCTCCTCCTTTCTGTATATCTGACTTTGCAATAAAAATAAGTAAATCTTTATTGAAAAAAAAAAAGATGGTAATTACCCAGCGAGAGTGAGCCTACCTCCTGGAAGGCAGGACAGTATTCATCCTGACCTAGTCCTTCCCGTACCCCTGAAATCTAAGAGGTGCCCACAGCCCCCAGCCAACACAGGCCAACCCATTGGCCAGCAGACTACCGAGGCCAGCAGTCTGCTGGCAATAAAAAGGAACACCCAGGCATTCCACCTGTCTCACAGCAAAGCAGGCTGCCGGAAGACCCAGCCCCCAATCCCTGGGTGGCCCCAGCCGGGGTACAGACAGACGGTGGCCCTGGCTCCCCGAGACCCTAATCCCAGCACGCAGCCTGGGAACCACCCACCCAGACCAACAGGTGTATTTGTTCCATGGAACCTTGCCACCTGGCTTACCCCAGTCTGCATTGTAGACTGGGGCTTGAGCGATGCCCAGTCCGGATCAGCCTGGCCACCTGCCTGGCGACTCCTCTCCTTGGCAACCGGATGGGCCAGCATCACACATGGTTACCACCATCATGGCCGCAGGGGCAAGCAGCTGCAACTTACACCTCCATGCGCTTTTGCGCTTGCCTCGCCGCCAGCATGCCCAAACCAGTGCGCAGGTGCAGTGCCCTCTTTCCAAACACCCACGTGCCCTGTGACGGGTGGAGGATGGAGGAAGCCTCCACGCCCTGGCTGTGTTCTCTGCACCAGTTCCTCCCACAGGAAGCCGTGGGGGAGGGGAGGGCGCCACCATCCCCCCCCCACAACCCCACCAGAGCTCCCCACCCCAACACCTGTTAAGTGCAGGTGGGGGGCAGGGCCCCTGCTGGCAGAACCTCCACCCTCCACATACACACACACACACACACACACGCTCACACACACACACACCGCCTTCCACGCCCCCTCTGCTCAGGGCCCCGGATGATGGCACAACAGGGCCTGGGTGGGGGGTGGGGGGTGGGAACAGAGGCCACCGGGCGGTTGATGAAGAGGAAGTTAGGGTGCTCTGTGGTTACACCACGTTCCAGGACTGGCCAGCGCAACCCCTGAAGCCACGGCCCCGCGCAGTCCTGGGGGGGCTACAGGCTCAGGGGTAACCCAGCCAAGAAGCACTCCCAACCATCACCTCCCAGCCCTGGGATCTGGATTCCAAGCGCAGGTGAGTGACCCATCCGCACGGGGAGGCGAGGGGAGGGTCCCTGCTTGGTGTCCAGGCTGAGCTGGGTCACCACGCGGTCCTCCAGGGCCCGGGTCCCAGGGAGAACCGCTTTGGGAGCACAGCCCCTGCATTTCACACAGCCATGGGGATCCAATGACCAGGCCCCCTGCCTCCACCACTCGTACCGGCTTCTTTCGCTTTCTTTGAAAACCAGAGAGACAGACAGACATCTTCTATGCGTTGCCGCTTTGCTCTGGCAGTGCGTCCCCAACAGCCAGGGCTGGGCCAGGCTGAAGCCAGCAGCCAGGTCTGCTCCCGCGTGGGTGACAGGGACCCAGATACTTGAGCCATCCATCCCATGTTGCTTCCCAGGATGTGTGTGTGTGAGCAGAGAGCCGGGACACAAACCCCAGCCATGGTCATGTGGGTACGAGTCTACACTGCATGCCAGCCTGCACCTCCTGTGATTCCTGCAAATTCAAGAGAATTTCCCATCCAGTCTGCAAAGCAATATGCACCCCCCCACACCTCGAAAGGGCTCAAGACCCCCCTCCCCTTCCCTCTCCCCATCCCTCCTCCCCTGCAGGGGTGGGGAGAGAAGAGGGGCTGTTGTTGGTGTGGGGCACACCCCAGTCGCTGGGCAGCTTCCTGCCAACCCGGCCAGTTTTAATGACATGTTCCTGTCGTTAAACTTGGGAGCCACTGGGGTGTGAAAGCGTGGCCAAACCCGGCCACTCACCCACCCCATCCCGAGCCAGCAAGGGGGAGAAGTTAAGGACAGAGCTGGTTGGTAGCACGAGGGGACAGAAGCGAGCTCACAGGGTGGGGCCCCAGTCACCAGCAGACAAAGTCATGGTGGATGGAGGTCAAGGGGTCATGGTTCCTGAGAGCCTCCAGGAGGGCTTCCTGGCAGAGGTGACCTCTGTGACAAGGGTTCTGGGAGGCCCTAGATGTTGTTCTCTGTGGGCACCGGGTGGGTGGGGGGGTCTGGATTCTCCAGCTTGGAGTGGTGGTACCCCTCACCCTCACCCTTGGGCGTGGGGCCCAGGAGACTCAATTGCCCCTTAAACCATCACACCAAGGGCTTTAGGGAAGTAACGTCGCCGCCTTGTTGAGCCACAGTTCGTCCTGTGTGGGTTCAGTTACCCGTGACCAGCCGCAGTCTGAAAATATTAAGTACTGAGAGACAGGGGGGTGGGGGTGGGGGCGAGCAGGTGCCACCTAAATTTTTATTGCAGGTTTGCTGTGACGGTTATGGTGGCTGACCCCCTTGCTGTGTGTCTCGTTGATAAATTTCCATTTTGTCATGAGTGAATTTATGTTAAAAAAAAAAAAAAACAGTATCTATAGGATTCTGAGAAACCCCCCCCCCCCCGTCACCCCCACCCCTTCTCCACCCTGGGAACCCGGAGCCCAAACATGCAGATAAGAGACTCAGGCTAAACACTGGCCGCTCAACTTTGAATCCTGCCTTCTGGAAGCTTCCAGAAACTTCTTGAAGCCCCCTCCCTCCGGGGGTCTCCTGCTCTGCGGGACTTGGGGATGCTGTGAATGCTGGAGACCAGGGGAGTGGCCCCGGGCCAGCTGGGAGGGCAAAAATGGGGCCGAGGACAGCTATGGGGTTGGGATGAATTCCTGCTAGGAGGGAGTGAGCAAGGGCTTGGGGTGTCAGAAAAAGATGTCTGGGAAGTGTCCCCCAACCCGATTTGGCCCTGGGGGAAGCCAGGGGAGGAGTGTAGGCCGAAGGGGAGGGGAAGGGAGGCGCCGGGAGGGAGGGGGTGAGGACCACAGCCAAAACTTTATCTTCGGTGTAGCGTTTTATCATTCTGAGATGAGATTTGATAGCCGAAGGCTCAGCTGGGCAGCAGTGGGAGGAAGTTGTGGAGCTCACGCGTGGCCGCAAGCCCGCAGGATGGGACGCTCACCCACAGGGCAGCCACAGCCGTGCGTCTTGGGGATCATGACCAGCAAGCACGCCCTGCGATGCGTGGCCAGAGCAGCCGGCTGCTCACCCCACTTCTCCCGTGTTGACAGCAGCCATGTTTCCGGACTAAACTGAGATGGGGGGGCCTGCACGTCCACCGCCAGGGGGCAGCAACAGCACAGACACTGCTGCCCCCACATTTCACGTGCTCCACGCCACGCGTGGAACACGCCACACCACACACAGCAACACACAATACACGCCACGTATATCATGCACACCACACACAGCATGCCACACATAACACGTGCCACATAGAGCATATACAACACACAATACACACTATATCACACATGTCACACATACCACACACGCAGGACACAGAGCATGCCACACACAGCACACACATGTCACACAGCATACACACCACACACACAGGACACACACATGCCACACACAGCACACACAGAACATACACACCACACACATGACACAGAGCATGCCACACACATCACACACATGTCACACAGCATACACACCACACACACAGGACACACAGCACACGTATGCCACACAGAACATACACACCACACACATGGCACAGAGCATGCCACACACAGCACACACATGTCACACAGCATACACACCACACACAGGACACACACAGCACACACATGCCACACAGAACATACACACCACACACATGACACAGAGCATGCCACACACAGCACACACGTCACACAGCATACACAGCACACACACAGGACACACAGCATGCCACACACAGCACTTGCATGCCACACACAGGACACGCATGCCACACACAGGACACACATGCCACACACAGGACACACAGGACACACACATGCCACGCACAGCACACACATGCCACATACGGCATGCACAGCACACATATTACAGCAGATATGTGCCACATACCCCCTCACCCCGTACACACCTAGTACATACCACAACATACACACCGCTTACATCATATGCACACCACATGCATCATACATGACACACGCCATGTACACCACACACCCAATGCTCAACACGCATGCCATACGTACACCACACAGCATCACACATACACACGTCACATTGGCATACATAAAGCACACACATGGACACAGTGGCCCAACACTCACAGGAACCCCAGCCAGCACCACGGAAGGAGGCGCTGTGTGTGGAGGCACACCCCACTGACAGCTCACACGCTTCATGCACCCATGGTGGGCGACGGCCTCAAACGCCCCTCCCCCAGAGGCTCAGACACGCCAACGCTCCTAGCTCAGAGACCACCCCCCCCCAAAAAAACACATTCTGCACCCTGTCACGCCCACGTACTGTCACACACACACACAAGAAGGTGGGCATGCACCCCGATCATGACATGTACGCAAGGGATCCTGTGTGCATGGGTGTGATGACACAGTGCACGCACGAAAGAGGTCCCACAGGAATGAGCACGGAGATAACACGCACAGCTCGCACACACACACAAGCCCTCTGCAGCCACAATTCCCTTCCCTTGAAAACCTCCTACCCAGCTGGCGATGGGCAGAGCCACCGTGGAACAGGATGTGGTGATGGTGGTGGTGGTGGTGGCGGCGGGGGGCGCTGGGGAGTTGGCCTGCCTTGACCCAGAGTCACCCCGAGTCCCCCATGGGGAACACACCCCACCCGCCGCCGTGGCCCCCCCCGCCACAGTCGCAGCCGCAGACTCCCATCAGCGGAGCCCGGCTGCAGTCTGGCAGACCCTGGAGGGAGCCTGGGCCCCTCCCGCTGGCAGCTGCTGCACGGGCGGTTACAGCCTCCCCAGCCCCAGCCCCGCTCCACCGTGAGCTGTGCACTGCGCTCTGGCACGCTCAGGGGGGGGGACCCTCATGGCCGACTCGGCTCTCCAACACTCCTGGCCGGCCTTTTCCAAGCTCTGGCCAAGGCGCTGGGCCTTCAAGAGAGGTAAGGGATAAGCCATGCCCCCCCCCTCCCGCCATGCCCACAGGCATGTCTGCCTTCCCTCGTGGGAGCAGGCCTGGGACCTGCACCGCCACCGTGGGGGTGCCCCCGCACAGTACATCCTGGCTTGGGGTCTCCCTCTTACCAGCTCAGCCATGGAGGGTCCTAGCAGAGGACTCAGTGGAGGGGCGGTGTGGTGATGTCCCCTTCAAGGGGCCCTCCAGGGACAGCAGCTGTAGGACCAGGGATTCAGGGTTGGCATATTCGGAGCTGTGCAGGGCGAGGGCGATTGATAATCAAGGAACTGGGCGCAAACCTCTGTCAAACAATTTACACGTAGCAGTCAGCTGGTATGACCTACCTGGAATGAGTTTATCTCTACCGGGGGGGGGGGGGGAGGGGGTTATTAACAGGGTGATCAAAGGGACCCTTTGTCCCCCTGGGCCACAGAGTGCATGGCTTTGCAAAGGGACAGCTTTGCCAAAAGAGGACACGTTGGATGGTGTCTGGAACCCCAGCAGGTGGAACAAGGGGACAGTAAGAGCAACTGGCCACAGTGTGTGACTTCCTGAGAAGGGGGGGGGAGGTCTCTTGTGTACCTGATCAGGCCCAGCTTGTCGTGGTTCGGACTCGGTAGATCCCGGCATGGTGACCCGTAGGAGCCAAGTCCGTGTTCCGGGCAGCGAGGGGTTTCTGCAAAGGAAGGGGCTGGTGTGTAGGTTCTGCGGCTCGTCTTTGATTCCTGCCGGAGGTCTGCTAAGCAGGCAGGCACAGGAGGGACCTGCAGGTGGGCGCTCAGGACGCGGACCACAGGAGTGCGGCGGAAGATCTGAAATAGCGATTCGAAGGGTCAGGTTGTTGCCCGTGACCTTGACGAGCTAAGAAGTTGGGTGACTTGCTCCATGTCACACAGCCAGCCTGGACCATGCACCAGGAAGGGACAGGGGCTGGGCAAGGCTGGTGGATCGCCTGAGTGAGGCCGCTTTGGGTGACAGATTCCGACCGGGAGAGTCCAGGGGAATCCTGCCATCAGCCAAGCCTTCCGGAACCCACCCCCCCCCACACACACACACACGCACACACACACACACACACACACACACCATCCTGGGGT